GAGGACTGGGGACAATTGAAAGCTGTGCCTCAGTCCTGGCTGGTGTGCTCAATGGTAGCGCATCAGCCCACGCATGGAAGGGTTGTGGTTTGGATTCCCAGTCAAGGGCACGTACCCTGGGTTGTAGACTCGGGAAGCAACCAATCGATGTGTCTCACATCATCTCTCTCTCTTCCTCCCACTCTCTTAAAAAACTGGAAAAAATATAACTGGGTGAGTATTAACAAAAAACAAAAAAGCTGTGCCTTAGCTTTCTTGGCATGTCACTCAGGAACTGCAAGGTCTTCTGATGTCAGTGTCCTGTACCCTGAGAGGAGGTATGACAGGGTCACTTGAATCATTTCAGGGGTGTGACATAGGCTCGAGGTGGTGCCAGATGCAGGAAGGATGGCAGAGGCCTGGATCAGGATTGGTGGTGGGGTCTGCCACTGGATGAGGCCAATACTCCTTCACTGGTGGAGCCTTAGAGAAGTGGGTTCTACCCACCCCTTCCATCTGCTCCAGAAGAACCCTAGCAAAGGCAAGGAGCTGGGAGCTTCTCAAAGGCACAGGCTACCCTCCCTGTTTGGGGACCCCAGTGCCTAGCATATAGAAGATGCTGAGTAAATGTCTTGGTCATGAGATGGATGGCCATAGAGGGCCCTTCCAGCTCGGGGACTTCCAGAGGTACAGCCAGATGCTTGTGGTTCCATTCAGTGCAACAAACCACTGGGCATGGGCTAAGTGCCAGGACCCATGCTACATGCTAGGTGGGGGCCAGGACCACGAAGGCCAACTCCAGGTGCGGCCTGTTATGTGTGTGGCACTCCTTGGAGTGGGCAGTGTGGCCATGAAGGGAGCTTCCCCTGAACAGACCTGGACACTGCCAGCAACTGAAGTGGGCAAACACACACAATGTAGACCTCTCATTAATTCTGCTAATTGGCTGAGATGGGCGTAAGTGAGGAATCTGAGCCCATGTTCCCAAAAGCCCCATGCTCTGCTGGGAAGGTGGGTTCCCAAGTGGGCCACATCTGTCTGGCTACTGTCTTGAGCAGCTGGGAGGGAAGGCCCAGTGCATCACACTGTAGGCTGGAATACCATCGAGTGGAGAGTAAAAGGGCTTGTTGGTGAAAAGGGGTGAATGGGAACAGAGGGGTGGGGCAGGAGATGCCCCCTTCTCAGCTCAGCCCTCCGAGACCTATTGCTGAGGACTAGGTATGTAGACTCTTGTGACCAGCCCGCTGTTCCTCTGGAGAGGACATGGCCCCATGGAGGATGGGGCTCCCCTGCCACGGAAAACTGGGGGACAGAAGTCAACTGTCCCCTGGGCACTCCTCTCCAGCTGCTGAGAGGCTCACTTGGATGGCTCTAGAGATACCCCATTCTTGTTCCAGTGAGGACTTGCTTAGATGCACAGTGCTCAGGTGATGTGGGCCAAGACAGGCCTAGAACCTGTAGTCCCTGAAAGCCAGTGCTAGGGCTCGGCTCTCACTAATTCTTGGAGAGGTGGTGCCAGGAGGGTTGGCAGCCCTTGGCTACTGACACCCTGGAACAGTGACTTTACATTCAGGTCCCATTGCCATCATGCAGATTGTTAGAACCAGGATCAAAAAGAGCCACTGGGAGGCACACAGCTGCCACTGTCTACCCTGCCTGCCTCACCTCCCCGCTGGGCACCTGCCCTGTGCAGGCTGTGTAGAACACAAGCACCTGTCTCCTTTTGCTCCTTAGAATGAGGGTGAGCACCAATCACCTCCAGCAGGTGCCCTTTGAGCTCCCTCTGCTGGTCTTTCTCTGGAATCCAGAAATGTCAGCAGCCCTAGCCTGGCTTGGTCCTTTGGGGACTCTCAGCTGTACTGCTTTTGGGGGTGAGGACCCAGCTCTTGAAAGCCTCCTCATTCCTTGCAGTTGCCCCCATCCCCATGAGTAGGGAGAGGCTGGTGTCCCATAGCCTGAGGTCAATGGCAGTTCCAGGTCACAAGCTACTTGCCCTCCATGCAGCCCTTCCTACTGCTATGGAGGACAGAGCCCAGGCACTGAGGAGTCCCTGCTCTCCCAGGTAGGTTTTGGGCCTCCATTCCTTTTTGAGTGCAGCTTCTCTGGAGGCTTCTATTGTGTTACTCACACGGGCCTGTTTCTCTTCTGTAACAGGCAATGGTGATCAAGCACCAAGGTGCCAGGAGTTTGCCAGATGGGCCCAATGACCCCCTCACAGACCCCATAGGAGGCAGTCACGTCAGAACGGAGCAAACTGACTTGGAACATGCATGTAGGAAGGGCTCCCCTGGGATTTGCCATCTAGCTCCTTTGGACGCCAGGGCTCTCGGCACCTCTGTAGCCATGGGTGGCACCCAGGTAGGAGAGCTGAAGATTGACCTGGAGCGTGACACAGGCACAGGCATGTCTGCCTGGTGTTCCGATGGCACTGGGTGCTCAGGGGAGTGGGATCACTAGGAGGGGAAAGTGCAAGGCCAAACTGGAAGAGGCTAGCAACGGGCTCCTCAGAGGTATGGGGGTCCAGGTCATTTCTTCTTCCTGTGCCTTCTATGTGTCCCACCTGACACCATGAAGTGGGAGCACATTAAGAGGCAACATGGAGGTGATGGGGTGTAGTACTTACAATGACCACAATCCAGACAGCTGGCAGGTGTATCAGCTTCAACCACATGAGTAAAATGGGCACTCCCAATGTAAGCACGGAAAGTACTTCCATGTGTGGCTCCTGCCTAGGGCTCCAAACACAAGAACTACTCTGTAGGCCATGCAGGGCTGAGTCTACATGTGTTGCTGACTGCTAGATTTCGGGAAAGCTGGACAGTTGGCTTCCCAATGGTAGGTGGTCAGAGGGCCCTACCCTAAGCAGGCAGAGGGGCTGGAGGAGGGCAGGAGAGAACAAGGAAGTCCTCTCTGCCAGAAGACATCATGTGCTGGGAGGAGGGGCAACTCCATGCCCCACTCAAACCCATGCAGGCAACTGGGAGACACTGGTCACTGTGGGCCCCAGGTAGGGAAGGCATAGCTGGCAGCTGAGGAAGGAAAGGCTGTCACAGCAAAGAGTAAAGAAAACCCACGAGACAGGAGCTTTAGCGCCATCCCCACTTAGCGCTGCACTGTCTGGGGTGCACTGGGGATGCTGGCTGCCAGGCTCTGACGCGTGGAAGGCAAGGTGCAGCAATGCAAGTGAGGAGCCTCTGTTTATTGAAAGAAACAAGTGGGGCTGGGAGTGCTGGCCTCAGGCCTGGATGTGGCTCTTGGCGTTGAAGGCCAGGTAGTAGATCACTATGCCAATGACTGCGGCTAACACCTCAGTGGAAACCCAGGGCCCGTTCCAGGTGCCCTGCAAGAAAGGAGACCAAAGCAAGCTCAGGGGAGGGATGGGCAAGGGGCTCAGCCAGCCTTCATTACCCTCCTTCTGGGGCACAAAGACACACTGGCCAACTATGGCCCAGCCTCCACCCCCCAAAAAGGATGAGGCTTGCTGCTTCCCAAGACCAGGCCAGCCTCTTCAGCCCACTCACCCGATGGTCTACGCTGACTGTGAACAGGGGTGGGATGATGGAAATGTCCTCGTTATTTCTCTGAGCCTGCAAGGGAGGTGCTGGGGTTAGGGGCGCTGCCAGGTGGGGTGGGGTAGAAGAGGCAGGAACACTGGCTTGAGTCATGAGAGAGGAGAGAAATGGGTAAGTGAAAAACACAAGGTACAAGCACAAGTAGGGCAGGTGTATAGGAAGGCACCCACGCCCAGCCATCCTCCCTGCAAGCAAGGCCCTGAGTGGCCCAGAGCTCTAGGAAGGGGGGGGGCTGTAGGGTGGAGGGGGCTGTGGAAGTAGAGTGTGCCCTCCCTCCTGCAGGCTTGGGAGGAGCTCCAGGTGATACTCACCTTCCTCAGGAGGCTGTAGGACTCCTCGTCGAAGAACCTGACCTCATAGGTCCCAGCATGAGCACTCTTGTGATCTAGGCTCCAGGACACCTGGGTTGGGTTTTGGCATGGGGTGGGCACAATGAACATATCAGGGTCCCCCTGCCAGTGCTAACACAGCGCCACTACCAAGATAAAGAACCCTGACCCTGCTTGACCAGACCACCTCTAGGGCTTCATCACACCTGTGAGCAGGTGGCCTTCCTCCAAAATGACAACCAAAGCGTCCCTTACCTGATAACGCCCTACGTCCTGGCCACGGGTGACAGGAAATTGTTTTCCACTGACATCAGCATAAAGAGCCATGTTCTGGGGAGAGGACAAAGGGAGAATCACTTTCTCCCCTATATGGCTGTTGGCAAAGGCCCCACTGTGCTGCCCACAGCAGCACCTGTGGCATGTAGGGACCGCAGTGTGTCTGGCAGGGACACCATGAGAGAATCATGGAGGTAGGACCGGCACAACCCAGAGCCTTGCCAGGAAGCCAACACCCATGAATGCTATCACTACTTCTCTGGCTCCTCAATGCAGGGGCAGGGGGCACATTCCTCTTATGGCCTGGCCCCCCTAACCCACAGCAATCCTGTTAACTGTGAACAGCATGGGATAATTGACATGTTATTATTTCTGAGGCTGTAAGGGGGTGCTGGAGCCAAGGGGTAAGGCCCAACTTCCTTCTTTGGGCCTTTGGGATGCAGGTTAAGGTCAGGGGCCAACGCCAGGTCTGTTCAGTCTTAAATTTACCAAATACCCACATGGACATATACCTTGGCAAAGAGCAACTAGAAAAGGGATGCAAGAGCCTGGGGACTGACCCCTGGCTGTTTCTCACTTCCACATACACTCTTTTAAAACACAGCAAAGTGTCCATCTGCCTACATTACTGCACCTAGGCAAAACAAACCAGGCAGCTTAGGAGAATGTTCTTTAAACACCTGCTATAATCTGATCTTTGTGTGCTCTGAGCTTTCCTACACCTGTGAATCGAAATCCACATTGGTCCCTTGGTCTGACCCCATCTACTGCCAGCTGAGTAGCTGATGTTAAGGTCCCAGGCTCACTACTAGCCTCTCACCCCAGCACCCTCCTGGCTGAACCCCCACTGCCTTACCTGAACCCTGTTTTTGCATGTCAGGGAAATCTCCACGATGAAGACAGTCTCAGTGGAAATGACGGCATCAGAGGTTGTATAGTAGGAAGGGGTGATCTGGGGCTCCACACAGGCCTCTGCTGTGGGGAGAAGGCAGAGAGATACCTGGGTAAGGCCTAGCTTGTGCATGCTGGGCTGCGGGTCAGAGGGATGACCCTGGCCCTAATTCCCACACCTCATTATCTGAGGACATATGGAGCCCTTTGGACCCCGCCAGGTGAGATGTGGGAGACAGATATAAATGATCAGTCAGAAATGCAGTGGCCAAGGGGTGGGATGGGGAATGGGAAGGCTTTGTACAGGTGGAACCTCAATGCAAGGGCAAAAGAAGAGCAGGGGAGTCAGGGGTGGGGGGCTGGATGGGTTCTCTACACAACTCACATCTGTCCCTAGACCTCTGGTCAGGGAAGCCATGCAATGGGTTGAGGCTGCAGCCTACCCTGGCCTGTAGCACTCCAGAAGCCCAGGGGGCTAAGGTGACCTCAGTTCTGAACCATGAAGAGCCCTGGATAGTTTACTAAAGGCGTCCTCCGCAGACACCAAACATGGTGCTGCTGTCAAAGCACGTGGGCTTTTGTGATGAAGGGAAGGGTCTCTCCCTCAGCCAGTTAACAGAAGGTCAACACTAGCTCCAGTTTCCAGAGGGAAGGAAATGGGGGAGGTTCTGGATCTAGATGCACAAATTGTCCCCTTGAACAGGGCTGCCCTGAGAGAAAGAATGATGCCTTGGCCATCTCCGCACTGCTAGAGGCTACAGAGAAAGAAGGGTGCCACCTAAGTCACAGGGCACCAAGTAAATGCTACCAATGGTAAAGTTCTCAGTCAACTGTTCTCTGTATGTGGTGTCCCTGCAGAGCCATGCCTTAGGTTGAGGCAATCAGAGATTTTGGATCAGGACACTGGGGAGATGCCTGGGCACACTGCTGCGGGCGGTTTTTAGGAGCCACATCCCAAAGATCCTTCTGTGTCCTGCTAAGCTTGGCCTTTTTCCTACGGACACTGGAGCACCAAAGGGTTTTACCGCCAGGTTTGTCGTTTCCAGGCATCACTCACTATAGCATGGGGAATTCCTGAAAGATAAGTGAGAAGGGTGCAGGCAGGAGGCCAGTTAGGCTGGTGGAACACTCCAGACACCAAGGGTGCTGGCCTGAAGTAGGGCGGGTAAAGTGAATGCACAGAAAGTAACCCCTCCCTAGTCCAGCCCCTAGACGGCTCTGGCTGTAGCAAGGACATCTTCCTTAGCACACTTCTGGACTCCAGTCTGAGCTCAACCCTGCCACTAGGTGTTCTTTAAATAATGTCAATTGATCTGTGGCTCTGCTCTGCTGGAAAGCCCTTTAAGGTTACATCAGGGCCTCAGGTAAAAACTAAAAAAATCAACAGTCTGGCCTGACACTCAAGGCTCCCGCTTACCTTAACCTCTCCAGCTCCGATCTAACTCGCCCATGCTCATGGTCACTCTGCCTGGTGGTCCCTGCTTCCTTTTCACCTAAGAGCTCCCTTCCCGGAGAGGCCTGGCCCCACCGCACCCAATCAGGTGGTTCCTCTCCACCAGACCAGTTTCTACCCCCATCACCCTGCGCTGCAGAGCTTTGCTCCTGTACGACCTTCCTTAGAGACCAGGAGCTCTGGGAGAGGGAGCAGGGACGTGTGCACTTTCCCCGCTGGAGATGGGGGCCGGGTGCATGGGAAAGCCTCTGGAACTCTCCCTCGCAGGAGCAGAAGGGGAAAAGATTTGGTTGTTTGTTCTGGCAGCCTGGCTGCTGGATAAACCTGTGTGGTGCAAGAGCACATGGTGGCCTTGGTCGTCGCGCCCCGAGGCCACCTGCCTCTCGGAAGAAGGCCCAGAACCCCGCTTTGCCCGCACCCCTCCTCCCCGCCACGCACCACCACTCGTGGGAGAGAAGCTCGCCAGAGACGAGCTCCTGCTATGCCGCTACCTGAGCAGCAGGAGAGGCCAGACAGCAGGAGTAGCGCCAATGCGCCGAGAGATGCCAGCGCCACCATCGCCTCTTCTATGCCGAGGTAAAAAGAGCGACTCCACTGTACACGAGGAGCAGACTAGGAAGCACGACGCGCAAGAGGACGCGGTAGCCAATCAGACGCTGGCAGGCCGGGCGGGGCTGTGACGTCGCTGGCGGCACTGACGTGTCCCCTCACTCGACATGGGGCTCAGCTGAGCTCCCTTCAAGATGGCGGCGGCGGCGGCGGCGGAGGCTGTGCTCCCAGAGCAGGAAAAGGGCGTGGGAAACGGAAAGCCATGCGCATGCACACTACTAGAGCCACACCCACTCTGCGGACTTTGCTCCCCTCCAAACTCTCGCGAGAGCGGTCTATACGTGTAGGGACGTGCGGTGGTTCCCACTTTCTGTCATGGCGCTGAAGGTGGCAATGGCTGTTGGTGGCCCTGCGAAGGCATTGCTCAGGCCAGCCCTCCTCTGCCGTCCTTGGGAGGTGAGAGTGGGGAGCGAGCCGCAGGGGCAGCTGCAGCGCTCGCTGGGGGGGGTCCTTGCCCATCAGGGGGCCAGATCTGGAGCTTCGGCTCCCAGGGCGTCCTGGAGTCCGATTGGTTGCA